TTGCAGCCATCATTGTTGTTTGGTGGGTCCGGGCTGGGGATTCGAACCCGCCACCTTAGGTGTACGTGGCTGGCGCCTTAGCCAGTTGAGCTACAGGCGCCGAGCCTGTGCTTCTCTTTGAAACCATTTCTCAGTGTGAACCTCTTTTGGGGCCCCCACACCTCTTGAGGTCCCCTGTGTTTCTTTCAGAGTCAGGCAGTTTCCAGTACCCCGCGTGGGGACCTGAGTAAGGGTGGCTGAGGAACGCTGGGATGGTGTGGCGGGAGGGTGCACATGACCAACCTGGGGAGAGGCCAGCTCGGCGTGGAGTGTTAGGACACATTAGGACTTGCGCTGACCCTCTCGCTCCTCTGCACACAGCTGTATCCAGCATGCTCCAAGGCCACAGCTCTGTGTTCCAGGCCTTGTTGGGAACCCTCTTCACCTGGGGGATGACAGCAGCGGGGGCCGCTCTCGTGTTCATATTCTCTAGTGGACAGGTGAGTCACCTTGCTTGAGTTCTGGAAGTTTGTGGGGACTCTGTCTTGGTGAGCTCGGAAAGCTTCCCAGTGCACAGAGCAGGTGTGCCAGCTCTGGAATTCCCCCAGCCACAGGAGGTGCGAGGTGGGTGGTGGGCATTGCTTAACATCCTCTTGTTTTCTGCCCTTCTCCACACCAGCCCCGGAGAGCAGGTGTTTGCTCACTACAGGTCGTTTGTTACCTTCTCCTCCCCTTCCCACTCTCCACTGCCTGGCTGGAGGAGGAGAGGACGTGAGAAGCCCAGTTACTGAGCTCCCTTTAGGCCGCTGCCCGATTTCTACTGTTCATCTAATTTCTTTCAGGCCTGGAGCAGGTGATACTATATATGGCCGAAGAAGAACATTAGGTTTCAGATGTTCCTGTTCAGGGCCTGGAGTTAGCTGGGATGATTAAAGACACCCTGAGGGAATGAAGGGTTTCTGTTCCCTTTCTCCTTTACTCCTTCGCTAGGACACTTCATTTCCCCCTTAGGATGAATACAGACACACCTGCCTGCTGGCCCCCTGCAGACACCCTCCCCGAGTGTCTGGTTCGCACTCCCAGCACCCTGACTCATTCTCATGCCCCGCACCCCAGCTGCCCCAGATCCTCCATGTCTGTCCCTCCACGCTACCCCAAACCCATCTCTACACCCCTCCTTATACACTCCACGCACACACCCACACCTGCACACATGCCCACGCCCCCTCCTCATACCCCACACCCCTGCATGCCCACACCCACCTCTCTCCAGCCCAGAACCCCCTCAGGCCACAGGCCTAGAGCCATCCGTGGCTATCTTGATGAACACACAGTCCCTGCACTATTCAACTTGGTGGCCACCTATAGGAATTGCAGGACATCTGGAAACATGTCTAGGAAGTTGGCCAGTCAGGCCCTGCTCTTGTGTTAGAGACCAGTACAGCAGGTCTTATCTCAGCCATAGGATCCCCACCTCCCAGGCTGCCCTGCCCCTTCCCAGGATCCAGACCTGGCGCTCAAAACAATCTGGAATTACAGGTTACCTGGAAGCTGACTGTACGAGATCCCTAGAGAAGTCGGATTTCCAGAGATGGAATGTAGGGCGGTGAGGAGGGAGGAATGAGGTGTGACAGTTAGGGACAGAGTTTCAGTTTTGCAAGGAGGAAAGAGTCTTGTGGACAATGGCTTCTTTCACGTCGCACACAATCCTTGGGCCAATCCATGCTGTAGCATGTGCTAGAATTTCTTTTCCTTTTCAAGATGGAAGACGATTCCATTGGGTGTATCTGCCAAAGGATACCAGTGGAACCTTTTTATTGACACATAAGATGTACATAGAAAGGTGTGCATTTTATAAGTGGACAGCATCAGCATACCACCTAGCACCTTGGGCTTCCTCCAATCATTACCCCGACCTGCGACCTCCTCCGCTGTTCTAATGAACCCCCTCAGTCTCTAACTGCAGGGAGAGCTCTCCTTGTCATTGTGCTTTATTTAGATGGAGTAATCGTGAAGTCTGGCTGATTTCACCCTATTTATTTTCTAGGATATTTAATGCCCCCGCCTGTTTGTGAGATATATGTATATGTATGTATAAATATATATACACACACACACCCTGTGTATTTGTGTTCTCTTTGCTATAAGGTAATCTGTTGTATGAATATAGTAGAACATCCATAGCTGACCACCTCCCTACATTGACCACTTCCTTCAGTGACCTATGTTGCCCTGGGTAGAGTGCTCATAGCAACCTCAGTCTCTTAGGCTCAATTAATTCTCTTGCCTCAGTCTCTTGAGTAGTTGGGACTATAGGTGCCCACCATAATGCCCAGCTAGTTTTTCTATTTTGAGTAGAGGCAGGGTCTTGTCTTGCTCAGGCTGGTCTCAAACTTATGAGCTCAAGCCATCTACCCACCTCAGCCTCCCGCAGTGCTGGGATTACATGCATGAGCCACCATGCCTGGCCAAGTTGACCTAATTGTTACAGACTGGACATGCACCACGTGCATGCATCAGTGTCACAGGCTTCATTCCTTATAGTGCCCACTTCTGTATGTTGACCAGTTTGTTACAGTCCTTTGGACAGTCAGCTTAGAGAGGTTTTATATGTGTCTAAGTTGATATATCCATTCTGCTGTGGGTGGGAATTTGGATGCTTCCTGGTTCTTGGCGCTCACACATTGTGCTGCTGAACGTCTTTGTACACACGGTTGGTGAATCCGAGCGTGCATTTCTGTTACGGGGTCACTCAGAAGCAGCACACATAGCGTTTGCATCTCCTTAGTGCCGCCAGATAGTTACTCAAAGCGGTGGTGCCAGCTCGTGCCCCACCTCGTGTGTGGGTTTTGACTATTCCACCCGCTCCTCACCAACACTTGGTAATTTCCATCTTTTAGGCCAGCTACTCCCTAGAGGCTTACTGTTGTAGTTCCCGGGGAGACCTGAGTATGGGACAGCACGTGGGCCAGTGCAAGCCACGTGCTACTCAAAGAACACTTGCAATTGGCTGTAGGGTAGATGGAAAGTTTCCAACTTTCTTTCCCTCTGCTTCTTGACCCATTGTGTAAATTCGGGAGTTCACAAGCTCAGGAACGGGCCAGTCTGTATTTGTGTAGCTCTCTTGGTCCTTATGGTTTCTTCTTTTTCTAGGAAACAGCGTCTTACTGTTCCGTAGAAACTGAAACATCTTGTTTTCATTTTCAGAGGCGGATATTAGACGGGAGCCTTGGCTTTGCTGCAGGGGTAAGTAGCACATAGCGGGAGAGAGATAAATGGAGACAAGTTTACTCTGACATTTCTCTGCCAAGGGTGGTCCCCAGTGACTGACTAGCTGCATCTCTGTGCTCCCAAGCTGCTGACGGCCCTCTCCTATCACCTGCCATATTGACTTCCCTCTGTTTCTCCTTAGATAGAGAAGGAGGCTTGTTTGGAAACTGTCTCAGGATTTGTAAAATAAGAGTATTAGTAAGTGTAAGCCTGGCCTCATGCATAGGGGTCACTAACTAAATTCTCCTTTTCCTCCTCTTGCTCCCCTTAAATGACCTTTTATTATAGACATTTTTAAACGTGGGAAAAAGTGGCGTGAACCCTCTGCTGCCTCCCAGATCCCCATTGCTCAACTCCAGTTATTTTACTGATCTGTCTTCCCCCAACCTGCTTGGGAGGTTAGACTATTTTATAAAAGCAAATTCCAGACATCATGTCATTTCACCTGTACATTCAATGCGTATCTCTAACTGGGTGACTTAAAAAACAAAACAAAACAAAACAAGGCGGCACTTGTGGCTCAAACGAGTAGGGCGCCGGCCCCATGTGCTGGAGGTGGCAGGTTCAAACCCAGCCCTGGCCAAAAACTACAAACAAACAAAAAAACATAGGGGCGGCATCTGTGGCTCAAAGGAGTGGGGCGCTGGCCCCATGTGCCACAGGTGGTGGGTTCAGACCCAGCCCCAGCCAAAAACTGCAAAAAAAAAAAAAAAAAAAATTACCATACCATTACCATACCTACCAAAATTAACAATCATTCCTTATAATCCAACACCCAATCAATATTCAAATTCCCTCCATCTTTTCAAACATATCTGTTAAGATTTTTTGTTAAAATTTGGATCCCATCAAGATTTTTACATTTAATTTGTTTGTTATTATCTTTTGAGTCACGTTAAACTGTTCATTTTTTTTGGCTCGGTGCTCACAGCTCAGTGAGTAGGGTGCCGACCACATACACGGGACTTGGCGGGTTGAGCCCAGCCCGGGCCTGCTAAACAACAATGACAACTGCAGCCCAAAAATAGACAGGTGTTGTGGTGGGTGCCTGTAGTCCCAGCTACTTGGGAGGTTGAGGCAAGAGAATTGCTTAAGCCCAAGAGTTTGAGGTTGCTGTGAGCTGTGATGTCATGGCACTCTACTGAGGGTGACATAGTGAGACTCTGTCTCAAAACAAAACAGGTTTTTTTTTTCCTAGTAATTTGTTGGAGAAACTAGGTCCTCTGTCTCTAGACTGTTCTAGATTCTGAATTTGGTTGATTGTTTCTGTGTGGTGATGTATAACCTGTTCCTCAGTCTCCGGTAGCTCCTGTAAGCCGAGAGATGAGTCTTGATCAATTCAGAGTCTGTGTTTTAAGGCAACAACATGCTGTAGGGAGTATTCCATTTGCATCAGCCGTATCAAAAGATGTATAATACATAGTTTTCCCTTTTAGTTGATCAGACTTTCATTCCTGTCCCTTGTTTTTATAGTCCTGTGATCTGGAAACACTGGCTCCCAGAGGCCATCTAAGGCAGCAGCTATCACTGGGCCCAGTTCCGTCAAGAGCGCACGGAGACTTTCCTTTACACAGGTGCATGGAAGTATCAACAAAACGAGTCTGCAGGTCCTCAGCTTCTGTGTTCTCTTTCCTGAAAGTGCTGTGTCTGAGAATGCCCTGGAAGCCAGTTCCTTTGCTACCTTTCCTCTCACAGTTTCCCTCTCCCACTTGACTCAGGAAAGATGCATTCTTACCAATGACCTTGCCTCTGGATAGCAGAGGAACTCTAGGCATGTTGGTGCTGATGTGGAGAAAAGTGAAGGGTGCTCAGCACTAATCACTGGGCACAGATCCTTGAGCAATTCAGACACTGTCCTGTTCTTCGGAGATGGATGTGATCGAATTGTCAGCAGAGGGGTCCACCATAGAAGGGACTTGGGGTCTGTAACTTGAAAAAGAGTACTAAGAACAGAATGACAATATTATAACCTGTCTTTTTAACCCCTATTTTCTCATTTACATGAATACATTTTCTCTTTGCTTATGTTAAAAAAACAGCAAAAAGGTGCAATGGCTTACGCCTGTACTCTAGCACTCTGGGAGACTGAGGCAGGAGGATCACTTGAGCTCAGGAGTTTAAGACTAGCCTGAGAAGAGCGAGACCTCATCTCTACTAAAAATAGAAAAAGTAGCCAGGCGTTTGTAGTGGGTGTCTCCAGTTCTAGTTATCTGGGAGGCTGAGGCAGGAGGATCACTTGAACCCAGGAGTCTGAGGTTTCTGTGAGCTAGGCTGAGGCCATGGCACTCTAGCCTGGTTACAGAGTGAAACTGTGTCTCAAAAGAAAAAGTAGAAAATAAAGACAAGTAGAAATAAAATTGATGCTTACCTCTGTCATACTCCAGCAGTGACTGCTTAATAATTATCCAGAGATATGTGGATACATTGAAACAACAAGCATAAAGCCCCATTCACTAACATACGCATTTCTAAGAATATTTTACTATTTAATGTTTTTTTGTTTTTTTTGAGACAGTCTCACTATGTTGCCCTTGGTAGAGAGCCGTGGGCATCACACAGCTCACAGCAACCTCCAACTCTTGGGCTTAAGCAGTTCTCATGCCTCAGCCTCCCAGGTAGCTGGGATTACACTATTTAATGTTTAATAGTTAAAAAAGCATATTGTGTTTTATTGTTAGAAATCTTTTTCTATCACTAATGGTTATTATTGTTCAATCTAGGAAATTGTTATTTAAGGACTTAGAGCCCTAAGGTCACTGAACATTTTTAAGAATTACACTGAAATGTATATAGATATTTATATGACAGGGAAGTATGATAAAGAAATCAACATATTTTCCAACATTAAATATAAGTCCATTAGGGAAAAATTCTGTGGACAAATGGAATTGAAATACAAGGCAAAGAGAAAGGCAGTGATGTAATTTTTTTAGCTTTTGAAGAAGAGTTTGCTCATGGTACATTTTTTTGTAAAGAATATAGCACAAGAAAAGTACATAAAATGAAGATACATAGCTTAGTTTATATATATACACACACACACATGCATATTTATGTATATATAATATATATGTATTTTTTTCTTTGAGACGGAATCTCTGTGTCTCAGGCCAGAGGACCATGGCATCAGTCTAGTTCACAGAAATCTCATACCCTTGGGCTCTTGATCTTCCTGCCTCAGCCTCCCAAGTAACTGGGACTATAGGCACCTGCCACAAAGCCTGGCTAATTTTTCTGTTTTTAGTAGAGATATGATCTCCCTTTGCTCATGCTGGTCTTGAACTTCTAAGCTCAAGGTACCCTCCACCTCAGCCTCCCAGAGTGCAAGGATTACAGGTGTGAGCCACCGTGCCCAGCCTATATATTATATTTTTTAAGTGGATAACGATAGAAATAAAATCTCTAAGCTCTTTAGATTCTACTGGATTTTCTTAAAAGATTGATGGAACCACTTTGTTTAAAAAAATCTCTCCTCTTTCTCTCTTTCTCTCTGTATTATAGACCAGAAATGACATGTTCTGCAACTATTTAAACTGACAATAAAAACATTTTAAATGCCAACTTATAAATGAGGGAGGGAATACTTAGTTTTTCAAAACTCTTTTTGTTAATTCATTTTTTCTTCTTGTTTGGCTAAGTTTTTTAGTATTCCCGTGGAGGTACCCTAACACAGAGTTTGGAGAACTCTGTTGTATGCTGTTTTACAGCCTTTGATGGGGCATTTGGGTGCATTTGGGTGTCTTAGTCTAGCCTAGGTCAAAATCTGTGGTGATTCACAGAGCAAAAGACAAAAGTCAGGATACAGCAAGAGAGGAAACAAATGAACAGGACCAGGTAGAGTCTAATAAGTCTTCAGGACATGTATGAATGAATTGGGGACGATTAAAACATGAAGACTTAAGATATAATTTCCTTAAGAAAAAAATACATCATAAGACCTGTGTGTTATGTATGAAGATCTAAATCACAAGTTTTACGTGTGATTTTTAACGTAATCTGTAGAAAAGAGAGATTCTCAAAGTTATATATGTGTATTTAACAGAAAAAAATTACTTCTTCTTCTTGGATTTCCCTTGAAGATCAGTTGGTTGTACCTGTGGGCCCCCAGGGACACAGAGGAAAAGGAAGAATGTGGGAGACAGCTGGGGCTCAAACCCAGGGAATTTCAGTGGCACTGGTGACTGGAAGTGGATCCTCACACACACTTCCCCAAACTAGGGAAAGGGAGTGCAGCTCGGGTGGGTGAGCAGTGGCAGGGGCTTGTACTGATGGAATGAGTTGCAGTTAATAGAGATAATTTCGTGGCTGGGGCAGCGCTTCTCAGCCGAGAGCAGTTTTGCCCCCAGGACATGTGTGGCATTGCATGGCTACCGCAACTGGTCTCCAGCAGGCAGAGGCCATGTGTGCCATGAGGCATCCTCTGATGCCCAGGACAGAACACATCACAGCCACAACGGGTGCTCTGGCCAAAGCGTCAGTAGTGCTAAGACTGGGAAACCCTGGTCTAGATCACTTGGTATATCGTCTCTAGTTAGAGACTAGAAAGTGAAAAAATTCAGGTGTATGGTTACCAAAAAAAAGAAAGAAGATGAAGAAAGTCCTTTCCCGTTTGCTTCTCAGAGGTCACTACTTGAGTGTGCAGGTCCTTGGAGACATTTTATTTTGCACACCCTCACATGTGCTTGGGATCCGAAAGGCCTTGTCTTCTCCACCCAGCCCTGAGATGCTTTGAGTAATTATCTCAAAAAGGGCAACACTGGCTATGAGTCAGGGTCCCACCATACCATGCACTGATGTCTGCACAGCCCTTGTAACAGGTTTTTTATGGTTAATTTTGCATACATTTATGTGTGTGCTGTATGCACATTGCAGTGTGTCTGTTTTATGATGTTGCATAGACATATTTCTACGATAAATAATTGCTCACCAAAACAGGTGTTTCTGTAAGATTCCTGGGACAAAGGGCTTGTAGATTT